ACAAAAAGACAAATATTGTATTAGTCCATTATTGTAAAAATCAAGGAAAGGTTTATCTATGGAAGGACATTTTCTTTGTTGGTTTCCAGGGGTGGGAGAGAAGGGGAGGGAACACTGTTAGATAGGTATAGATAAGTAATGATTTGGGTGAAGAGAAGGGCAATGTACCAAATGTGAGTGATCAACATGGTGGCACTGAGGAAGAGAAGACATAGAGAGGTACATGGGAGGTACAGACAACAAAGATGAACCCTTTCGCACATACAGTACTGCGTTGTCAGCGAAGGCAAACATGGGTATATGGGTGGATAGACGGGTGGACAGAGTGAACTAGTACATATGTCTATGAAGCGGGGAGTGTACCTAACAACATGTATAGGATGGGCAGACAGTGGTCCTATAAGTATTTATATGCTCTGAATTCCCAGGTGTATAGTAGAGCTGACAAGGGGCAAGATTGTAGTCACTTCTTGGTCACAGCCAGCTGCCCAGAGGATCCGAGTAGTTGAACCTATGGGCTCTGGACCATAGTCACAGGGGACATCAAGCTCAATTGCCATAACATACTATACAAAACATTGTTCTACATCCTACTTTGGTGAGTAGCGACTGGGAATCTTAAAATCTTGCCAGAGGCCATCTAGATGCAACGATGGGTCTCTCCTCATCCAGAGCAAAGAAGAATGAAGAAAACCAAAGATTCATGGAAATAATTAGTCCTAGCTACTGGTACACCATGAAATCTGCAGCCTATATGACTATGAGACCAGAAGAACTAGATGGTGCCCGGCTACCACTGTCAAACACTCAGAGTGGGATCTATCTAGGTGATCCTGGATAGAGAGGGAGAACAATATGGAACAAAATTCAAAATCATTTGGAGAAAAACAAAGGGGTAGACCAGGTTTGCTGGTCTGATAGAGCCTGGTGGAACCACTAAGACTATGGCCCCTAGCTGCCCTTCAAGTCTGGTATTGAACCCACACCTGTGGCTTCCAGCCAAACAAAAGACAGGTGTATGATCTGAACATTTATCTGAGATAGATACACTCCTTGGAGAGAACAATCATGGGAGAAAGAAGGGCTGTTAATCCACAGGGAGGCAGCTCAGGGGGCAGAGTGCATGGTGGGATAGACACAGGGAGGAGGTAACTATTGGGAAGAAGTGGGAGGGGAGCTGTTGCATTGTGGTAATTTGTAGTCAATGTCATGAGATAAAGTGTATGTGAACTGCTGTGTGGAAAGTGAATTTGCTCTGTAAATTTTCACCCAAATCACAATAAAATAATAATAATAATAATAATAAAAGTGTCAGGCTCTAGGAGCTGTGTGAAAGCCCATTGACCTTGAGATTCAGCTCTGCCTCTTGCTCCTGGCCCACTTAAGCTAGAGGCTTCTCTTCACTCAGGCAGCTACTGGTTGCTGAGGCTGACAAACTCAAGGTTGACAAACAAAATGGCACAATCCCAATGTTACCAAACCACATGACAGGCCATTAATTCAAGTCCATTGAATGTCCCAAGGTTGGCAGAGCATGGCAGGCTGCTGAATAGCGACATGGCTACGTGTAGGGTTCAAGTGTGCCTTAGTTTAGAGACCATTTTCCAAGGCTTTTCCTTATATACAGAAAGCAGATCAAATCCTAAGGTAGCTACTCAGCTGCTCACAGTAGATTCCATCATGGGGAATACTATCACCAGCTGCCCAGCCACCCAACCAGGCCCAGGCAAGTTGACACACAAACTTAACCACCATATACAGTAAATATTAATACAGCCCCTATAGCCTACATCAAAAAAAGCTCTTTGGGATCCTCAGTAGTTTTTAAGAGTGTAAAGGAGTTGTGAGAAACAAGTTTCAGCACTGTGGATGTGGCTCACCCTCTTCTGCCATTTCTATCACCTAAGATCTTTACTCCTAAAAATGTTCTAATAGTTGAGGCACTTGATCATGACCAAAAAAGACATTATTAGAACCACCCCTAGTCTTGGAATTGATATACATTGGTAGGTTTGGCACAGAAAAATCTATAAAGTCTAAAAGAACAGAAGAGGCCTCACATGGTTCCTGGAAAACACAGAAGTGTCAAGTAGACAGATGGTATGTTTAAGGCCCTTTAGGACACCTAGATGGCTGTGACAAAGGAGGCCTCTGTGGGATGCCCTTCCCATGCACCAATGTCCAAGGCACATGGTACATGATGGTGGTGAGGCAGGTCCTTGCAAGACATCATTGACTTTGGGGTGTCTGTCAGCAGAACCAAGGCTGGGAGCTAAAGCTAGACCAACTCTGCTTTGAGAAGGTACTCCTGGACTCCCCTGCTCATTGTCTTTCACATTGAGGCCAAGAGCACAGCACACCTAAACCTCAGGCCACTCATAGCCACCACCCAGGTTTAAGCTGGACAGACTCTGGTCACTTGCAGCTCTGGCCATTCTGATGGGTACATACACATTTTCAGCAGGTGCAGTGGGACAAGCAATGTGGCCTTTTAGCACAGGAGGTCTACACAGCTGCTGGTAAAGGCAGAGGATCACATTCTTAGAGAAAACCCAAAGCTCCCCACAAGCACTTGCCCTACTCTCCACCCCCGGCCAACTTTCCTTGGTACGTACCCTGCACTTGAATTCATATTCCTTCAGGATTTCCAAGAACCGTTCTTCCTGAGAGAGGAGCTCGATGCTCTGTGGCTCCAGCTGAAGTCAGACATAGAGAGAAGCAACAATGACAGAGAAAGCAGAGACAGGAATTCTTGGGCCAGGCTCCTAGGGAGCCACCTCCTCATCCTTCTTCTGAGGACTAAAATGTCTTCCTCTAGTATCTCCAGGAACAGCCATTCAGTCTACCCTACAATCTTCTTTAAAAGGACTTGGGGGCAGGAGGATTTTTTCCATATTTATCCAGGAACTTGAGCATGTGTTACCTGGAATGCCCTTCTGCACAGCCTCTGCACATTCTCTCCCTTCACCCTACCTTTTCTAAGTGAGTGGGGGGAGGGCATGCCAGTGGGGACTCACAAATGTGGACATTGAACTCTAAACTGTCTCTTGGTGTCCCTGACTGCTGAGAACCCAACACTAGAACCAGGTGACACTAGTGGGCCCTAATTTTATCAATTAAGAGGTCACACTATGTTGGGCAGTTCTGGGTCACAGTGGCTTGTCACAAAAGGAAGAAACAGGGACAAGTCATTGTATTGATTTTCTCTACATGTTGTACTTTTGGTAGAAAAAAACTAAGTTCCATCACCCATGTATTATTTTTCAAGACATGACCCACCCTCCTAACTGCAGCTTTACTTGAAAAAAGGCTCAGAATGAGCAGCACTTGCCTTGTCCTTCCGCACAAACTCAAGGTCATTCTGCAGTTTCAGGACAAGTTTCTTTGATTCTGAGTGCTTTTCCACAACTTCAAAAATCTCCTTCTGTAACCGACTATTTTCCTACAAGACATAGGCCAGTAGTTTGCCAGGTGTAGAATGCAGGGAAGAGACCAAAACCAAACTAAACCCATTGCCATAAAGTTGATAACAACTCATTACAACCCAACAGGACAAAGTTTAATAGCCCCCTAGGTTTCCAAGGCTGTAAATCTTTACAAAAGTAGAGTGCCTCATTTTTCTCTGGCTTAGCAGTTAGTGTGTTCAACCCACCAACCTTCAGATTAGCAGCCAAATACTTTAACCACTGCATCACCAGAGCCCCCACTGGGAAGAAGACAGTGGCAAGCCTCTTTCTTACCTCTACTTAAGGGAGAGAGGCTCACTCTCAGCAGTGTCACTATCAGGCAAGCAGCCTCCTGGAAAGGTTGGCTGCACAGTGACTGCAATATGCAGTGTTGGAGGCTGTGTGAGCAGCTTAGCCCCTTAGACAGACATGCACAGCCACAGGTGTTCAATACTTTCCCACTGCCTCCATTTATCTTGCCCTGAGAGCTGAAAAAGACCATGAGCTAGTAGGAAAGCCTGGAGATGTTTAATTTCTCAGTGTATTTCTAAATAAGGAATTTGAAATTGCACCAATATAGTACAGATGTCCAAGTTGAGAGAAGCCCAGTGCTTGTGATCACCAGGAGGCTGCACCAAGAAGAGTCAGGAGGACATGGAATTGCTTCTGGGACAACCAAGACCCTAGGCTTTGCTGAATAGTCTGTGAGCTTGAAAAGGCAGGAGCTGAAGTACAGGAGACAGAGATCAATGCGGGGAAGGAAGGCAGAAAAGCAAACTACTGATGGGCTGGAGTAGAAAACCAGGCAGAAGTGCAGGAGGGCCAGGAACAGACCCATATGTGGCACCCTGCTCACCTCAGCCTGCCTTTCATCCACCACCTCATCCTCTCCCCAGAGGTCTTAGGCCTGAGCATGGAACCATCCCTCCTGAGAGACAGGCCAATTGGAGACAGATGGAATGGGTTGTGAGCCCATAAACTCCCAAACTCTGGAACATACACTGGGGCTCCTGAGGGGTCTGCTTTAGTCTCTGGTCTTTTTTTTGCTAATGATAAAATGTACTCCTGGTCTCTGGAGATGCAGGGGTGACAACTGCTGCTGCAGACCTGCTCTGACCCCATCCACCAGCCCAGAGCATAGGGCAAAAGCCATGAAGGCTCTGAACTGTCCTGGCCACCATCCTAGAATGCTAGGAACAGCATGGGACAGCATCACCCCTCTAAACCCAAGTGTGCCTCCAGCCTCACTCACCTGCCTTAGGACATAGGCATTAACACCATGGACTTGGCTAAACCATGACAGTAACCCTTCTATGTCCTCATCTATCTGGCTGTAGATAGGGGAGAATGGCTCTTTCTTGTTTGGTTGAGCAATATGACATCCCCCTGGCTGTTGGCACATTTCCCTTAGTTTGAAAATCTTAGGCATTTCCTTCCTCAAAGCCCTGGAATTGCTGGGTCTGGCTGTGATCATGGTCAGGGAACATGGATGTGATAGGAGAGGCAAGTCCCATGGCCTCCCCAATTTTTTCCTTGGGTAGCATCCTCCTACCTTTAGGGCCAGTGCCAGCTTCTCCTGCAGACAGGCCCTCTTCCTGTGCAGGGTTGCAAGATCTTCCTCCAGTCTAGCCCTCTGCCTGCTGGTCTGCTGCCAGAGCAGTTCTCGTTCCCTCTCCATCTCTGAGCGAAGTAAGACAAGCTGTCCATGGTATCTCTGCTCTAGGTGTCTGCAAAGCACACACAGGTGAGTCTGAGGTTGCCTCTTGGGATGCCTCCCTGGGCCTCTCCAAGGTTTCGCACATGGTTCTGCCTTCTTGGAGCTCGCATGGCCCCTGGCATCTGGACTAAACAGGTTTGGATTCCATTGTCTTCTGTTTAATACATGGTGATCATCTGCCTCAAACTACCTGCAAGTGCACTGAGGGCAGGGTTGCGTAGTGGAAACCACCTCAAAGGCTGATATATCTGAGGAGAGGGAGCCCCAAACAGAGCTAAGTGGAGAAGTGGGCCAGCCTTCTTACTGAATAGGCATGAATGAGGCCCTTGAATCATTTAGGCTGTTATTTCTCTCTCCTTATCCATGTTTCCTGAGACAAAGGGTTGGGCCATGGTCAGGGAACTAGGAATCCATCATATTGTCCTTCTCACTCTTCTACACTGGAAAGGACCCGCTACCATTCTTGTGTTAGGCATGAGGAGCCCAAAGGGCTTGGCAAGGGGCAACAGAGCAGTATCTAAATGGGCATGCTCCACAAGCTTCCCTCCCAACAGTAAGGAGGCCAACAAAGTGGTAGGTAGCCAGGGCTTCTTTGACCCCTACCATGAGCACTGCCGAGGAGAACTGGGAATGTAGACCATGTCTTATAGCCTCAGTTGCCCCCAAGAGAGCACCATAGGTGAGTAAACGATTCAGGAAAGTGAGCCACCAGCTGAGCATGGCCAGGTGCTTCCAGCAAAGATTGTTCCCCATACTGGAGGTGAAGAAGCTCCTCTCCTTCCTGTAGCATGGAGAGCTACATGGCTGAGTTTTCTTATATCCTTTTCTATGGCCTGTTGGCCATTACCAAACATACCATAGAGAGCCATCCCCAGGACTGCTCAGTACCAAGGGCGATGAGAGGTCAGATTGTGTGCTTTGGACACCTTCTGCTGTGCCAGGTACCTGCTCCCTGAGTTCCTGAAGTTCTTTGCTAATCAGCTTGCAATACACCCACCTACCTAACTAGTCACAGTCACATGACTGGGCAATGAAAGATCTCAGCTGGAATAGGCAGGCCCAATGAATGGAGTCAGGAGAGTGGAGCAGAGTAGAGAGGGTTTCCTGTAGCCCACAGGCACAAAGAGTGAGAAGCCAATGCATACTGCACCAGCCCCAGTTACAGAGTAGATATGATACTTGTACTACACTGGATGGACAGTCTTGTGATAGTATCTCGGTTCTCTAGTGCTGCTATAACAGACATACCACATGTGGGTGGATTTAAAACAGGAATTTATTATTTTACAGTTTAGGAGGCTAGAAGTTAGAATTCAGAGTGCCAGCTGTAGGGGATGGGTGAAAGCCCCTTGACCTTTGGCTTCATCTTTGCCTCTAGTTCCCATCCCACTGGAGCTGGAGGCTTCTTGTAACTTATGCAGCTGCTGGCTGCTGAGGCTGATAAACTTAAGATTGGCAAGTAGAATGGCACAATCCAAAGATCAACAGGCAGATAGGACACTGGTTCAAGTCGATGAACAATCCCAAGTTCGGCAGGCAACATGGCAGACCAAGACTAGGCCAAAAGAAGAGTATAGGTGTGCCAAATGCTAGAATCCATTCTCAAAGCTGCTCCTTATATGCTGGAAGCAGGCCACACTGTGAAGGCAAGTGCTTAGCTACTCACAGCAGATTCTACCATGGAGGTGATTACAATCTTATCATGGGGAATTAATACATCCAACTACCCAGCCACTCAAAACCATGGCCCAACCAAATTGACATACAACCTTAACTACCTCAGATGGTTAATTTCATGTGTGCACTTGGCTAGGCCGTGGTGCCCATCTGTTTGGTCACAAACTGCTCAAGGTATTGCTATGATTAGCTTTTAAATCGTTCAGCCTTAAGTAAAGCAGATCAACCTCTTGAGCCTCATCCAATAAGTTAAAGGCCTTAAGAGGAGAAACTGTGATTTCTCGGGGTAGGATTCTTTTTCAAGACCACAAACATCCTGCAGGAATCTCCAGCTTGCCTTCTGACCTATGGATTTTGGACTTGCCAGGCCTCACAAGGGAGTTCTGGTAGCATAGTGCCTAAGGCACTTGACAGCTAACCAGAAGGCTAGCTGTTCAAACCCACCAGCCACTCCTCAGAAGGAAGGTTAGGCAATCTACTTCCATAGTGATACTACCTCGGAAATCCAACGTGGGGTTGCTGTGAGGTGGGTTCAACTCGACGGCACATAACAACAACAACAACAGGCCTCACAAACAAATGAGCCAATTCCTTAAAATAAAGGGACCTTTCTTTCTCCCCATCCATCCATCCATCCATCCATCTGCATCGTATTGAATCTGTATCTCTAGAGGCCTCTAATACCAAACTCAAAGTTGCAATTGCTGGTTACTAATGGCACATGTAAAATAGAGTGTCTCAACTAACCCGAATGTCATCATAAACCACAGCCACACCACTTGGGTAGTAATATGTCCCTCATCCACCCTCTGGTCAGGGCTGGAGGTATAAGGTAGGGGACACTTGCTGTGGTACTTAAAAGGCTACCCAGCAGGCTCTGGCCCAACAAACTCAACCCCAGTTTCACCTACTTGATCTTGTGCTCAGCAAGCTGCTCCATGGCAGCATGGCAGTCATCCATCTCTGTCACAAACTCCAAGTTCCTCTTCTCAGCCTTCTCCAGGTCCTTTTTTGCCTTGTCTCGCTCCTTTACCACCTGCTCCATTTGCCCTCTGCCCACAAGAAAGAGACACTGTCAAATGCATCAGCCTGGCCCATCACACACCCTGTGCCAGGCTCCATGAACTTTGAGTATGCATAAATCATAAAAACAGCCAACATGAATCATGCTCAGCATTGTCTCAGAGCCTCATGTGGCTATCAACAAAATTCTAAGGCAGGTTCTATAACTGTGTTCATTTTACAAATGTGTAGAGAGAAGTTAAATATCTTGCCAAGCAAAGTTTTTAGAAAGTATCTGAATCCAGGAAGTGTGACCCTAGGGACTTGGCAGTGTGCTATACCTATAGACAGCCCAGCATACATAAGCATTTACCTATGTATCTCCTTATCTCCAGCTAGGCAATGTGTCCCTTATATCCCCAGCACTAGTCTGGGGTAGAATGTATGAATGGAAGAGGAGCCTGACTACCTTGCCTGGTCACAGCCTTGACACACAGCAGACTGGCATTTAAGTGAGTGCAGGTGAATCACCCAGACGTAAAGGAGTTCATTTGTGTTAGCCCTCAAAGTCATGGTTGATATTCTGTGCAAAAGGTCTTGGGGCAACCACTATTCTGGTGAACATTTCTCTTGAGGAAGGAGCACCCAACTTTCCTTCCTTCCAAGTTCTGAAAGCAAAGGCAGAAACTTGGATACAATCATTCTCTCATTGTATTTTCAGAGCTACCTGAGGTCAGACAGATCACCTGCCAGTACCTAAGGAGACTGCAGAGTCTTAGGATAGAGGTCACTACTTTGGCTTCCTCTAAATAACACTTAAGACACTGTTCTCCAGAAAGTTACACTTTGGGAAATGATCTGAAGGATCAGTGACACCATGGTGCATTAAATGTGATGCTGAAGAGTCTTATTTCTTTAACTGCATGTTAATTTTGTCCTAATTGACATTAGGGTTGAGTTCAGTATAATAGTGATCAAAAGGGCATCTTAGTCAATATCTCAATCTCTATGACTCAAGTTCCCTGTCTATAAAGAGATGCTAATAATAGAAACCACTTAAAGGTTTGTCAGAATTAGCAGAGACTAAGGCAGGCAGGAAAGTTGCCTGAGCAAAGCAAGGGCTCAATAAATGAATGCCATTATTAGTATTGCTAGTAGTAATAATAATAATTTATCGAGACAGACACACAGAATGACTTATCAAAAAGTTGTACTTCATTAAACATCATCAACTTTTGTCCGGGTGCATCTGCTTAGTAGACGGACACTGCCCAGTCCTGCACCAGCTCCATGATCCTTGCTATATTTGAGCCCATCAACGCAGCCACTGTATCAATCCATCTCATTGAGGGCCTCCCCTCTTTCGTCGACCTTCCACCATACCAAGCATGACATCCTTCTCCAGGGAATGGTCCCTTCTTACAATGTGACCAAAGTAGGTGAGACAAAGTCTGCCCATTCTCACTTCCAAGGAGCATCCCAGCTGCTCTTCCTCCATGACAGATTTACTAGATCTTTTAGAAGTCCATGGTACTTTCAGCATTCTTTGCCAGTACCACAACTCAAAAGCATCTTCCTTGCTCGCTGTCCAGCTCTCACATGCATAAGAGACATTGAAAATACCACAGCTTGTGTCAGGCGCACCTTAGTCCTCAAGGAGACATATTTGCTCTTCAGCACTTGAAAGAGGTTTTTTTGCAGCCAATTTGCCCAGGGCTATCTGTTGCCTGATATCTTGACTGCTGTTTCCATTGGCATCAACTGTAGAAACAAGCAATGAGAAGTCTTTGACAACGTAAATCTTTTCTCCACTTATCATGATGCTGTTTATAGGTAGAGTTGTGAGGACTTTTGTTTTCTTTATATTGAGATGGAATCCATATAGCAGACTGTATTTTTCAATCTTCATCATTAAGTGCTTCAAGTCACCCTCATTTTCAGCAAGCAAAATTGTGTCATCAGCATATCGCAGGTTGTTAATAATTCTTCCAATCCTGATGCCATGTTCTTCTTCATATGATCCAGCTTCTCGGACTATTTGCTCAGCATATAGATTGAATAAGTAGGGGGAAAGGATACAACCCTGACACACTCTCTTCTTGATTCTAAACCATGAAGTGTCCCCTTGTTCCATTCAAACGACAGTCTCCTGGTCTATATACAGGTTCCTCATGAGTACAATTAAATGTTCTGGAACACCCATTCTTCTCAATGTTATCCATAATTCGTTATGATCCACACAATCAAATGCTTTTGCATAGTCAATAAAACATAAGTAAACATTTTTCTGCTATTCTTTGCTTTGAGTCAAGATCCATCTAACATCAGATATGATATCCCTCATTCTGCATCATCTTCTGAATCCAGCTTGTATTTCTGGAAGTTCTCTGTCAAGATACTGCTGCAACCCTTTTTGAATTATCTTCAGTAAGATTTTACTTGCATACAATATTAATGATATTGTTAAATAATTTCCACATTCTGTGGGATCACCTTTCTTTGGAATGGGTACAAATATGGATCTCTTCTAGTCAGCTCTTGGCATAACAAAGTAAGTACCTCCAGTGGGGCATCCTTTGGTTGAAACATCTCAATGGCTATTCCATCAATTCCTGGAGCCTTGTTCTTCACCAATTCCTTCAGTTCAGCTTCAACTTCTTCCTTTAATACCATTGGTGCTTGGTCATATGCTACCTCCTGAAATGGATGAACATCGACCAGGTCTTTTTGGTACAATGTGTTTTCCTTCTACCTTCTTTTGATGTTCCTTCAGGAATTCACCCATAGAATTCAATAATTAGCCCATAGAATCTTTCAATATTGCAAGTGAAGGCTAAAATTTTTTCCTCAGTTCTTTCAGCTTGAGAAATACCAAGCATGTTTTTCATTTTTGGTTTTCTAACTCCAGGTCTTTGCACATTTCATTAAGTAATTGGCTTTGTATGCTTGAGCTGCTCTTTTAAATCTTTTGTTCAGCTTTTTTATCTTGTCATTTCTTCCATTTCCTTTATCTATTCTCTGCTCAAGGGCAAGTTTCAGAATCTCTTCTGACATCCATTTTGGTCTTCTTTTCTCATCTTTTTAGTGACCTCTTGCTTTCTTCATGGATGATGTTCTTGATGTCATCCCACAATTCTGGTTTTCAGTAATTGGTGTTCAATGCATCAAATCTATTCCTTAGATCATCTCTAAATTCAGGAGGGATATACTCAAGGTCAGGACCTCTGGTAGTATAGTGCCTAAGGCACTTGACTGCTAACCAGAAGGCTGGTGGTTCAAACACACTGGCCTCGGAAGGAAGATGGGGCAATCTACTTACATAGTGATACTGCCTCGGAAACCCAAGGAGGGGTCACTATGAGTCGGGTCCAACTCGACGGTACAAAACAACAACAACATATTCAAGGTCATATTTTGGATCTCATGGACTTGTTTTAATTGTCTTCAACTTCAAGTTGAACTTTCATATGAGCAGCTGATGATCTATTCCACAATCAGATCCTGGCCTTGTTTTGGGTAAAGATACTTAGCTTTTCCATCGCCTCTTGTCACAAATGTAGTCAACCTGATTCCTGTGTATTCCATCTGGTGAAGTCCATGTGTATAGTGACCATTTATGTTGTTGAAAAAAAGTATTTGCAGTGAATAAGTCATTGGTCTTCGAAAATTATATCATGTGTTCTCCAGGATTGTTTCTGTCACCAAGGCCAAAATTTCCAACTACTGATAATTCTTTGTCTCCAACTTTTGCATTCTAGTCATCAGTGATAATTAACACATCTTGATTGCATGTTCCATCAATTTCAGACTGCAGAAGCTGAGAAAAATCTTCAATTTCTTCATCTTTTGCTTTGTCGGTTGGTGTACAAATTTGAATAATCGTAGTATTAACTGGTCTTCCTTGTAGATGTATGGATATTATCCTATCACTGACAGCATTGTAGTTCAGGACAGATCTTGAAACATCCTTTGTGATGAAGAATGCCACTCAATTCCTCTTCAAACTGTCATTCCCAGCATACTAGATCATAGGGTTGTCTGATTCAAAATGGCCAAAACCAGTCCATTTCAGTTCACTAATGCCTAGAATATTAATCTTTATGCATTCCATTTTATTTTTGACAATTTCCAATTTTTCTAGATTCATACTTCATACATTCCATGTTCCAATTATTAATAGATGTTTGCAGCTATTTCTCCTCTAATTGATTAATGCCACATCAGCAAATGGAGTTCCCAAAAGCTTGACTTTATCCATATTATTAAGGTTGGTTCTACTCTGATGATGCAGCTCTTTCCCACTTGTGTTTTGAGTGCCTTCTGACCTAAGGGGCTGGTCCTACACTGTATTGGATAATGTTTAAGGGCTAGTCATAAAGTTTTCCAGTAATGTATCAGACAGTGTTTCTCTGCTATTTATAAGGTTTTCCCTAGACAATTGTTTGAGAAGTGGCTGGTCTCTTCCTTCTTCCTAATCTGTCTCAGTCTCTAAGCTGTGTTGAAACCTGTGCACCTTGTACAACCCAGCTGGCATTAGAGACACTGGTGGCACAGCCTCAAGCCTCACAGCAACACCTAGACACCAGAGTTGGACAAACTTACAGACAAGTCTCCCTTAGCTGTTCAAAACCTCTTCACCCTGCCCTTACATGGATTCCATGGCTCCGTCATCCCTGGCTTCCCCCAACACTCTTCCTGCCTCTTGGATGTGGGGCCTGTCTGCCACCCCTTACCTGGGTTCCTGCAGCTTTGTCTTGCCCCCAGCTCTCTCCACACTTCCCATGTCTGGGTGTGGGGCCTGCCTGCCTCATCTTACCTGGGTTCCTACGGCTCTGTCTTGTCCCCGGCTCTTGCCCAGCTTCCCAGGGGAAGGGTGGGTGACTTGAAAATGCTGTGGCAATAAAAATCCAAGAAGACAGCCCTAGACAGGCCCCTACCTCTTTAGACCCTGTTCAGACCAGGAAAATAGCCTTCTGAATACACTAGGGACCTCTTTCCTTATTTTACCATGAGTTTTGGCTACGGCGCCCCTACCCCAGGACTGGCCATTTGAGGGTGATGAGGGTGGGTAAGGAGGTAGTCTAGATGCTATTAGTCCTGGAATCCCGTGAAAACAGACTTGCCAGTATGTACTCCAACACCCACTGCAAGTCCTCACAGTCTCTTACTGGAGGTAGCTCAGCTCCTGACGGTAGGAGGCTAGGGCTGCTTGCTGAATGACACCAGTGACCATCATGAGCTCGTTGTCAAAAGCCCAGGTCAGCTCCAGAAGGTTCACCTTCTCATCCACACTGAAATCGAGACTCTAAAAATAACAGGTCCAAGGGACATTCAGAATGAGTTTATTCCTCTATACAGACACATCCTAGCTCTATAAGAGACAGCCCTACACCCCAAACCATTTTCCTATCACAGTGGCACCAACAGTTTCTCTGTTTGCCTGCATCTTTTCCACTTGGGAAGGGGCCCCTCCCCTCTCCAACTCCCAGGAATTCTGGTGGGGATGTCAGTGAAGAGGTCTGACTGTGTTTGCCCTAGGAACATATAAGGAGGGTCATGTCTCATGCAGAGTATTTCATGGGAATTATTACATACAGAGATTCTTTTCCCCTTTGAAACCAGTCATTATAAGAACTGTGTGAGCATTGTGGAGCTCAAGAGAGGAGACTTTACCTGAAGCCAAGACCATTGGCAAAACATGAAGAAGAGATTTAGGAGAGTGTTGATGTGGGCACCTAGAGTTAGCAATGTCTAATTCAGCTCTCCCAGATGTGAACTATTGTGAGCAACTAACATTCTCCATTTTTCTTAAGCCAGTTTGAGGGTTTTTTTTTTAACTATTTCAAAATAAAAATGTCCTGTGATTCCTGACAAGTGATATACACAAATAATCATGACAATTTCATATGTCTGAGCTCTGGTAGCATAGTGCCTAAGCACTTGACTGCTAACCAGAAGGCTGGCGATTCAAACCCACCAGCCATTCCTCGGAAGGAAGATGGGGCAATCTACTTCCGTGATGATACTGCCTCGGAAACCCAAGGAGGGGTCGCTATGAGTCGGGTCTGACTGGATGGCACATAACAATAACAACAATGAAATATATTTATAGATTGGTGATTTCATTAATAGAAAAATGATCTATCAGACAAGAAGATGAGTCATGACCAAAAATATTCTAGACAATGGAAGGGTTAAGTAATTATCAATAGGGTCATATGTAGAAAGTGTCCTGCCTGATTCTCTAATGTACTTGTTCATTCACCCTAGCTGGAGCAGTAAAACCTTGCAGGGTTCTCATGAAAATGAAGATTAAGTCACATATTGAAAATTGCTAGCTCAGGACTTCAGTGTGCAAGATGAGTTCAATGGGATGAGAGTGGGAAAATGGCATCGTACTGACAGTCCACAAGACTAGTCCCTCCATCAACAGAGAAGCTGAGAAACTAGGTAAAGCAGATGCAAATAATGATACTGGAGTTGTGAGCAGCAAATAAGATAAAGTATTCGATCCAGTGAAGGTGGCAAAAGGGAGCAGGTTAAGAAATATGAAAAATAAAAAAACTGCCCAGCCAGTGGAGCTGAAGAGGAGTGATTAGAAATACAAAGGAGGTCCAGGAGAAGAGAAGTAAACAAAACAAAACATCACATCATGGAACCCACAGATATTAAACTCTGAACAGCCATATTGGGAGTTTTTCAAGGTGAGCTGGGGATTTGAGTGCAGACAAAGACCATACTGGGAAACAGAACAGGACCCTTCTAGATTAAACTGCTGCACAGATTGGAAGGGAGTGGGGGAAAAGGAAAATAAACTCTCTCTGAATAAACAGAACCCCAAAGAGGAGACCTGGCAGTAGGCTCAAGTTGAACTCTTAGTAAGCCTTTTTAGCACAGAGTGGGTCTAGGACCTGGCATTTCATGACTTGTGAATCCATGGGGAAGAGGGCAGCCCTATCTCCTTGGGGGCACTGTAGGGTCTGAACTGCAGGGCTCTGCTTGATGGTTGGGTGCAATCATCAGCAGAAGACCCCAGACAAAGCCAGGGGCTGAGGAGCTGCCCTTCCTTTGCCAACATCACTGATTGTAGTGGCTAAAGCACTTGACTGCTAACCAGAACACTGGCGGTTCAAACCCACCAGCCACTCCTCGGAAGGAAGGTTGGGCAATCCTACTTCCATAGTGATACTGCCTTGGAAACCCAAGGAGGAGTTGCTATGAGTTGGGGCCAATTCAAAGGCACATAACAACAACAACAATGCTAAGTCAAGAAAAACAGCCTCTGAGCTTGTATTCTGGGTTCACTTCTGGTGTGTTTTTCTTTCTTTCTTTCTTTCTATTCTCCTCCAATTGGAGGAACATATTAACCCTTCACTAATAAACTGTAGCTACTACATGGAACACCTCACCCACCAGACAGGTAACACAAATAGCTACTGTACCACAGGATCAAAGACAGACAGTGTACAGCACTTGCTCATCCCACCTTCAAATCCTCTTCACAACAAACAGAGATCTGCACCTGCATCCCCACCAATGATTCCACCAAAACACAGAAAGCAGGAGAGTGACCTATTACAGCTGAGTTAATAACCAAAAGTGTACACCTGCTTCATACTTCCAGATACAGTAAAAAATAAAATCAGGGTGAAACAAATCAATACATAACTAAAAAATAAAGACAACAACTTCAAAATATCTGGAAACAACAGACAACCTCAAATTAAAAAAAAA